ATGCATGATAAACTAGGAGAAATCTTACCCAGCTCAAAAGAAATGAAGGTTATCTAATGATGAAGAAATAAGATTGAAAACGAGTTTTAAGAAGCTAGAAGTGGATAAGACTAATATGGTCGTTCCAAAATAGAAGCTCAGAAGATTTTACACAAAATACATGAGATAAATGTAGGAAGTATTATAAAACACAGTAGAGTAGCTTGTTCATTTTCCGAGTTTGAGGATTTCCATATAGATTCATAGAGATACATATTTTTGTGCATTGTTTAATTCTAGCTGTACTTTGCAGTGTGATATACACTGTTGGACAAATTGGCTATAATCCTATATCAACAGGGTGCTGGAATATGCAACTTTAGTTGTATGCAAAGGTTTAGAAGTCTGTCATAATGGCCTCAAGAGCAATATTACGAAGGAAAAAGTTTCTTTTTGACTCCTTTAATCAGCACAATTACTTGGTTCGAGGGTTTTCAAGTTTTGATCATGGAAGTTCATCTTGGGTTCTTTATTCACGGAAGAGGTGGGCGGTGAGCCATTCATCTTCAAGTACCAATCATGTAAATGAAGAGGATTCACGTTCTCTAAGCAATGATGAAGCACGAACTACTTTGATAAAAGAATTTCTTAGGCGTAATTCTTCTGGTATTCCAACTTCGGGCCGCGGAATTGGAAGATCAGGGGTTCTTTCCCCATTGGGAGCCAGGTGGACTATAGAATATGCACGCTATTTTTCCACTGCTGCAGCTGGTCAGCTTGAATTAGGAGGTAGTGGTGATGATAAAAATGAAGAACCAGCTATGAAGCAGAAGAAGGAAGCTTCACCAGAAGAATGTGACCAGGCAGTTGAAGGTTTAAGCACCGTCAAAGCCAAAGCCAAAGCCAAAGCCAAGCAGCTGCAAGAAACCCAGAAGGGTGCTAAACCTATACTGAAGAGAATGTGGGCTATGCTTTTAGGGATTGGTCCTGCTTTAAGGGCTGTTGCTTCAATGAGCAGGTATACTTTTGTGTTTTTCTTTTTGTAATACTTTTCTAGTATCTCTTTTTCTTAGTCTCTACTCTCCTTAATTCAGGGAGGATTGGGCAAAAAAGTTGGGGCACTGGAAGGATGAGTTTAAGTCCACAATGCAGCACTACTGGTTGGGTACAAAACTACTTTTGGCTGATGTGAGAATAAGTTCAAGGCTATTGTTAAAACTTGCTAGTGGGAAGACTCTTTCGAGGAGGGAGAGGCAACAACTGACACGAACAACAGCCGACATTTTTAGGCTAGTTCCTGTTGCAGTTTTTATTATTGTTCCATTCATGGAGTTCTTGCTGCCAGTTTTCCTGAAATTGTTTCCCAACATGTTGCCATCAACCTTCCAGGACAAGATGAAAGAACAGGTAACACTAGAAATTGATTGTCACACGATATCTGCTAAATTTTTCGATGTCTGGTTTAGTGGTCATACTGTTGTGCACTATAGGCCCCGCATATCACTGGATATCAAAATCCTATCTTTAGGCATCTTACTCTATAACATACTCTGATCTGAACCATAATGTACAGATAATTTAAAAGACGTTCAAATAGTTATGGGATGCCCTTTAGGCTGGTAATTTATAACCGCTTATTGGCAGAAACTGTAATAACTAGCTGTTATTTTGCCATCTAGAAGTATCTCAGGATTGAAATATGTGTTAGGTTCAACTGCATTGAAATATTAATGACAAACTTTAAACTGATGCTTTCTTTTTTGAATTTTAAATTGTTGTTAATATCAATTTTAAATTTTTTCGACCCACTAACATTTTTATACAGATGCTAAGTTAATCATCATTTTGCTGCAATGCAAGCCCAAAGCAGAATATTGTATGGTCTATGCTTGTATTATGATTGTTTAAAACTGAAAACATATTAAGCCTTGGCACTGGGTCTTCATACTCTTGGATTGTACTGTCAAGTGGCTTAATGCACATTCTTTTGATCCCATGTTTAGATTTACTTTGAAATTTAGGAAAGAAGGGAATTATTGGTCGAAAGCAGTTAAACTTCTGATTAATATAAATTTCATCTTCGTGATACTCAATACTGTGGAAGTCCTAAATCTCAAAACTTAGGTTTGTATAGAAAGTATTACTTCCTCATTTATTTCATTCTTTCGTATGTTGCATTGTTTTGTTTTTGTGAGGTCAGGTTTATGTCCCTTTCCTCTTGTTCTCGTGATTTTGATTTTATACATGGTGAATCCAAACCTCCGCCAGCCTTCCTTGGTGGAGTCTGAAAAGTCACTAAGGCTGTGTTGATGTTTTACTAAAAAAAAAATCTCAAAACTTGGGCATAATGTAGAAGTTAAACTGAGACATGCATGCCATTGAAAGTCATCGACGGACCATTTGTTTACAAACATTCTCAAGGGGTGATTGCAGACAATAAGATGTATTCTGATATCTTATGCATCATGTCGGATGTCACACGCTGTCATTCTGATACATTTTCCCTTTTTTTCTTCTTTCTTCTGTTGATCTAAATATTAGTTGATCGCCACCAGGCTGTAAATGTTTGTCAGAGGGAAAGTTTCAGTCAAGTCATAATAAATGTGATGATCACAATTCTATTATCTTCTATTTATACAAGGGCTAGCAATAATGTTTCTCAACTTTTTATGCTTCTCTAGTATAACACTCTGTTAGATACATAATTTGTTGTTTGTTTGAACGGTGTTTAAACTCCTGGTCAAAATTACTCAAGGCCAATCAAATGATTATTAGCAGGTTGCTGTATGTGATGTAGTCTGATTTAGACTTGCGCATTGTATGTTTCCTACATCCCGTGTTTTACATGTTGCTTTGCATGAAATGCTCACATTCTAGGAAGCTCTAAAAAAGAGATTGAATGCAAGGATAGAATATGCTAAGTTTCTTCAAGACACAGTAAAAGAAATGGCGAAGGAAGTTCAAAACTCAAGAAGTGGAGAAATAAAAAAAACAGCAGAAGATCTTGATGAATTTATGAACAAGGTAAGAATTTTCAATTGAATTCAAAGTTGTTTGCTTTCATTTGTTAATATTTATTCTGCCTTTGTCTATCAAAAAAAATATTTATTCTGCCTTTAAAAAAAAAAAAAACAATCAAGGGACTTATTACTGTAATTGCCTTTGTTAGTCTTTTCCTCACTTTCGTATCTTAACTCTTGGGTGATATACTTTCTTGATTTGGCTAGGTTAGAAGAGGGGCTGGTGTGTCCAATGAGGAAATTTTAGGCTTTGCCAAGTTGTTTAATGATGAGCTTACTCTGGATAACGTCAGCAGGTTATCCCTTCCACTTCACTTTTATAACTTTGATTTTCTCCTCCACTGTAACTGTCTGGCAAAATGGTTGTGCTTATGTGAACTTCATCTGAAAAAAATAATATGCTACTTGTCAAATGCAGACCTCGGTTGGTGAACATGTGCAAATATATGGGTATCAGACCTTATGGTACAGATGCATATCTACGTTATATGCTTCGAAACAGACTTCGAAAGTGAGTTATTTCATATATATTTTAATATATTTGTTTCTCAATGGTAATTTGGCGAGGGGATTTCTGCTTCTATGGGGAGAAAATACTACAAATTTGTTCACAGAAAGTATTTACCTAACAAACCTCTATCCTTAGGGGCATGTCATATCATATCAAATCTGCCTTCTTTCAGAACATCCTTCTGTTTATGTTTTCAGTTGTATAGTCGTTATTTCTTAGCAGTAGTTGTAGTTCCTTGTGTATCAGACTGCTTTTGCAATCATTTGATTTCGCATTTAACCCCATCTCTTGAACATCATAGATGGTTATTTATATGCATGTTGCTTTGCATTAGTTCTCTTGTACACGTATCATACAAAAAACCAGTAAGTATTAACTCGCTTTGTACTTGTTTATTTGATGAGAACAATTTGCTTTTTATACTGTACACGTGTTCAGTGTGACTTTATTTGAATACAAGAGAAAAAAGAATATGAACTCATTAGCTTTTATGTGAGTAGACTTTTAGTGATACAACACTGGATTGGAGATCACAGCTTAAGTTGTGTTATCATTACCATAAGATGGTTCTATATAAGAAAACTGCATAGCGTTTTAAAATCCACTCTAAAGAATTGTTTCCACAAAAGATGAAGTCTCATTCTAAAGAGTAAAACTATCAAGTCTTTTACTACTTATACATACATTAGTGTATAACATGTCGAAATAGAAATAATTCTTTTACTACTGTTGTAATTCATCTATACCTCATTGTTTTCGAATTTATGGATACGTTACATTCCTTCTTTTGGGCTGCTGTACATTGTACGTGTTGCTTATCAACACCAGCAGTGAACTTGCATGAATGAATTTAACTAATTCAGGTGTGCTGGAACTTAAAAAGTATGAAACAGTTTTTCTAGCACTTTTTAATGCTCTGCAGCTTACTGATTCTGCTATAAGGTATAATAAACTTGTGATTTACTGGTACCATTTGATTTAGAAGTATGGATAAACTTGTGATTTACTGGTACATCATGATTTAGAAGCATGAATAAACTTGCCAGGTAGTGTCTTAATAGTTGCAGCTCACTGAAAATTAGCGTCAAAATAATTATTCATGTTTAAGTAAGGATGCTATATGATATGGAAATCTATGAAAAGATTGATGCCATCTGAAACGTTGATTTTTTTTGCGGAAAAAAACCGGATTCTTACAGAACTTAACTTAATGGGCTAATTTTTCTGAAAAGTTTCCTTTCTTGTTGCAGGATTAAGGAAGACGATAAGATGATCCAAGCAGAGGGCATAGAGTCCCTTTCCGAGGAGGAACTCCGTCAAGCATGTCGAGATCGTGGCTTACTTGGATTGCTTTCAGTTGATGAAATGCGGCAGCAGGTTTCTTCAGTTTTACAAATTTTTTTGTGTACATTAGACATCTTTTTCTCAAGTCAACAAAGCAGTAACAAAGAATCAGGTTCTAGAAGTGCAGAAATGAACACTTAAAACAGTGATATCTATGTCAGTGTACAAGAAGAAAATTAAGTTCTTTAATAAATAAAATAATAAATATCTGTTTAAAATACTTCAGATTATCGAAATTAGCAAAAGTTTTGTTCACATTCACTCTGATAAGTGGGACGAGGAAATCTAAGTATCATCTTTGGGATGATGAAATTGAAGTATCATCCTTTGTTTCTTTATTTATGTTTCAAATTATCTATATCTTTTTTATTGGATTCTACCTCTCTCTCATTCTTTGAGCAACTTCAATTAGCCTCATTATATTCTATTAGAAAAATTTAAAGTTCCTTTTGAGAGTCACTTTTGTAATGGGTGCCTATTAGAACCTGATCCACCAAACTTTGAACTGTGTTCTAGAAGAAAAATATTTTTCCTAAGATCAACCACATAAATTAGTGATGGTATGCCTATTTCTTTTTATGGGACTCTGATTCTGTGTTGGTGGATCAATGAGGAAAATGAGAGTAGGTCCAGATCTTGCTATGTGTAGAACTATTTTTAACATAATTGTGCTCTTTCCTGGAATTATAATGAAGTTCAAGTAAGATTTGTTTTCGTGGAGGGCCATAGGTTTGTAAACACTTGAATCTACTCAAAATTATACTTAGACTGAGGATACTCCTCTTGGAAATGAATATTTCCCTGGGTTGCTCTTCCTTTTTAGCCCCATGATCAACATGTTTAAGTTCTCTCCTTACACATAACTGCAACCTACATATTGACACTAGTAAGAACAAATTGACGCACTCCCCTTCATGTTGTTGATAATCTAGTTTCAGGTTTGTGTTGTAATAATCTTACATATTTCTCAATCAGCAAGATGAATTTATTCTGTTGATATGCCCTTGATAAATTGTTGATTTCTATTTCAATACTTGGAGTTTTGTTTCTGCAGCTACGAGATTGGCTGGACTTATCTCTCAACCATTCAGTACCGTCTTCTTTATTAATTCTTTCTAGGTAACCTAAAAGTTTCCCGTCTGCATGACTTGAGTTATTGAACACTAGGTAAACTTCCTTTCGTGCTCTGTCACCCTTTTCCAGAGCTTTCAGTGTGTCTGGTAAAGTGAAGCCAGAGGAAGCTGTTCAAGCTACACTCTCCTCACTGCCTGATGAAGTGGTGGACACTGTTGGAGTTACAGCTTTGCCATCTGAAGATTCTGTTTCAGAAAGGAGGAGGAAGTTAGAGTTCCTAGAAATGCAAGAAGAACTAATCAAGGTTTGGATTTTGTTTGCTTTCTCTTTCAATGGACTCTTATTAGAAGAGATATGGTGTCAGTAATAAAATGTTGAATTGAAAAATTGACAGCTTAAAAATCTGATCTTAATTTATTTGATTACACTGGGTGGTTGTGTCCTCTCACAACATAGTACCCTTCAAATACTTAATACTTTTTGCACTATTCAAGTGCTTAACAAATTGCTGAAAATATTTTTGACAAAACTGAAAAGTTTTGGACTTGGATCAACAGAGATTTTTAACTACTGTGCATATGGTGAAACGGGACAGAAAATTCTCTTTTTGCCTTGCCTATGTTAGATCTAGATTTACTGTACGGACATCGCAGTTCTTGACGCCTCTCATACATTATTATATCGCTGAAACGCTCCATTAGGGCTTGTCCAAGTAGCAATCTCCATCCCAGCAATCCTCAATAATTCACACCTTTCTTTAACGTATGCTGACAATGTTGAAAGTTTGCTCAGTACGAGTGTCCTTTTATTTGGTAAATTTTTATTCTAGCAGTTCAGACTTTCATCTTTAGTCTTGCTTTTCTGTTAGTAAACTTAAATTTGTTGATTAAAGGAGGAGGAAGAGAAAGAGGAAGAGGAGCAAGCAAGATTGAAGGAATCTGTTTCAAGGCAGAAGGATTTGGCTTTGGAAGAGATGATGACTGCAACGGAAAAAGAAGCAAAAGATAGAGAATCAGAAAAATCTTTGGACAAGCAAGAGCAACTTTGTGAGCTAAGTCGTGCATTGGCTGTTTTAGCATCAGCATCTGTAAGAATTGAGTGCAAGTAGTTCATAGTTTACATATTCCTTAACTGTTAGTATTTCATAAATATACTTGCTTTGCTGCTTTCAGTCTGTGAGGAGGGAGCGGGAAGAGTTCTTGAGACTTGTCAATAAAGAGGTAATTATTGAAAACATTTTGTTGTATCAGATTTATGCAGTAGCCTAAATTTGAAGCCTAGAAGAAGGCAAATAGGCCCTTATTTGTGATTTGAACGAGATTGGCAGTTGCTAAAATTTTAGAGTTGGTTTTTAACACCCTTCATTCCTCGTGTCTTCTAGTCTTGTTTGATTACATATCCATTTTTTCCCCCAGTTTTTCAATTATTTTTTCGGCCACTTCTGTCGATCCCAACCTGTTCCTGGATCCTTCACCTTTCTTCCTTGCATTTGCGTTCTGTGCGGTTTTTAGATGTCTAACGTTCTTTATTTATAACATTTACGGCTGTTCTGTAGGACCACTCAATGAGCTCAGGATGTCTATTTCATCAACCCATTCATTCTTTGACTTTCCCATTAGTTGTCAGTTTTCTTTCATATTTATCCTAATCAACTGAAGTAATGCCTTATCTGTCACTTTCGATTAATGTCTACCTGCACAGAATTATCTTCAAGGATGTCAAGCTATTGAATTTAATCCTGTAACTATAGTTGCCACATGTAGTTCGTGGTTAGAGAATCATTTAAGTGACATCAGTATGTCGAGTCCAAACCATAAATAATTTTTTGCTGACTTCTATAATTTGTCTTGGGTTATTTTGTGGATGGCTTGTTCAATAGATAATTATTAACTTCTTCATCCTCACTCTTAATCTCTTACAATGCCGTCCACTTTCATTCCTTACCACTTAAACTAAAGTTCAAAAACACGTGTTATTTCAAATTAACATGTTGTTACAATTGTTTTTTATGGCACCTTGTGGCTTTAAGGAATGTTATGAATGTGGTTGTTTTGCTTGACTCATCTATGTTATGCACAGCATGTCTTGAGAAGATCTCTCAGTGGCATCTGCCAGGTGAGCGACTGAGTCGCGTTATGTTTACTGATAATATTTTATTTGCAGGTAGAGTTGTACAATAGCATCGTGGAGAAAGAGGGTACAGACGGAGAAGAAGAAGCCAGAAAGGCATATAAAGCTGCAAGAGAGGACAGTGACCGAGCTGATGGGCAAGCTGCAGGCGACAAAGTTTCTTCAGCTCTAATAGACAGGGTAAGACACCTTTAGAGAATCTGGATTTGCTACTTCAATCTACTATGCATTGCCTTCCAGTTTAGAAGCTACCTTTTGGATTGAGATGTATGCAATATGCAAATGATTGGTCATATGTTAATTGGGATTTCCACTTTCTAGGTTGATTCTATGCTCCAAAAGCTTGAACAAGAGATTGATGACGTGGATGCAAAAATTGGCGATCGATGGCGATTGCTTGACAGGTACAATTTGGAGTTTGCAATAGTCGGATTTGAGTAGTTTATTCAACGTACAAGTTTGATAGATGGATATGCAATTCTTGTATTGTAATTCTAAGAATCTGATTCTCATGTTAGTTCGTACAGCGTTCAAATTCCAGATGATTTTGGTTGTCATTCACAAGGTCTATGACCACCAACATGGGCAAAGGGATGTTCTACAATATTTTATTTCTAATTGAAGGCTACATAAGTAAAAATTCACATTAAAATTGTCAATGCGAACACCACATATTCTGTAGTCAGATTGCATATAGAGTGAATAGATTAGTAGACTGATTTTGACTTTTTTTTTTTTTTTATAACGAGAAACCGCAACCTGAAAGATGTTGCCAGTGCACATAGAAATCATGCTCCCATAAAAAAGCTAGACTTTACTAACTGGAGCCCTAGATGAAAGACGTTCATGAATTAGACATCTTGACAGAAAAATGAATAGTGTAAACAGTGATGTTCTTCCAGCTCAAACCAATTATGGCATACTGTTTACATATTATGCTTTTTGTTTTCAATCTATCTATCTATTGGTGTGTAATTTCTGATATTTATATGGTAAAGAACTCCCGGAGATAATTGGGTTCATGGTTTATGGGCACAGGGATTATGATGGCAAAGTAACTCCGGAAGAGGTGGCATCTGCTGCTATGTACCTGAAGGACACATTGGACAAGGAGGGTATACAAGAACTCATTGGCAACCTTTCCAAAGATAGAGGTTGCTCACTCTGCTATGTTTTCTCATCTATCATGTTTTGGTTAATGAAATATATGCTTGAAACTTATGCTAATCTGTGAATTCCTGTATTATCTGTTTGGTACATAGTACTGAGTGGAGCTGGACAATGTGATGAAAGGAGTTTTAGTTCTTTTTCTCAAACTTAATACAGTCCAAAACTATGCAATCATCTCTGACATCATGCTATTCAATGTCTTTTATTTCTTTTCCTGGAGATGCACTAGAACTATCTAATGTCCTTAGACTCAGCTGCGGGCTTGGGAACCTCAAGAAGTGACAGCTGTTTTAACATTGTTACTAAAAATCAGGTTATAATGTTGAAAAGGAAATAGAATTAGTGTCGTTATGAAAATGTGATCATATTCCAACTGCTTACTAGGATTGAATTCTACTGTCTGTTATGCTTCTTAAATATAATTGTTGCTCTTATTTTATTTCTTTTCATTGCTGTCCAAGTTAATGCTAAGTTTCTAATGCCCCCTTTGATTAATGTTTCTGCTTACAGAAGGAAAGATTCTTGTGGAAGATATTATCAAATTAGCCAATCAGACAGAAGATGTCGAAGCAGCTGAAGCAGGGAAGCAATAATCTTTTTTCGGTTGACAATAATATTTTCTAAAGTTCAATCTGAACTTAAACTTGAGATTGAATTTTCGAATTGGGTTTTGCCCTTAGCAAAGAAAGTGATACTTATTTAAAACCTTTCATAGAATAATTTGCTATTATTGGCCTTTGTGAGCATACCTAAATACCAGTTTTGTAGCCAAAATGTTACTCTGTATATGACATGAGATTGAATATTCATGCTTTTAAAATTTATGCTTATTGAGAAATAATATACTAGTCATCATATTAGAATTGTGTGTTTTTCCTCTTCCTTTTTTTAAGTTTACATTCTGCATGCATTGTTTCTTGTGGTTATGGTCGAGAACAAGAAAAACTTCAGCGTTTCTTTTTATTTGGGACCCAAATATTATATACTAGTCTACTGTGTTTTATAGATCTTGCTTTTACACGAAGCTGACTAAGGTTGTTCCAATTTTTTTTTCGATGATAGGTGTCAATTGTGTATGAGGTGTATAGCTGCATGTGTATCTCATGGTGCAAATGTGTTTACGGGTATTAAAACAATATATGAAAAATATTTATAAAGAAAAGTAGAAAATATTTTTTACTGGATACTATGAATAAACTATCATAGTATATACTAGTGTTGCCTGTTGGAAGGACGATGGTCAAGGCTCACCCACCCAACGCGGGGCTTTTGATCTCGGTCAGGGCCAGCCCCTTTATCAATGGTTGGTCCTTATTCAGCTGTTTTAACCTAGAATGCACAAGCAACGTTTTTAAAATGCTAGAAATATAATTTTATTTTCAAATGAAAATGATATCAGTACGTTTTGGGGGTGTACGTGGGTTTACATCTTGCTCACACTGAAGAGGACCCATGTAAATTCATTGTGTGCAAGCCTCCCTTCATGCGAATTGTGAGGGAGTGTAAATTCGAGTGTACACCCTTATATACGTATAACATCTCTTAATTTTCAAAAAAATATCATTGTTGTTATTTTAAAAGAACTTTGCTACACATACACACTTTGATACACAACTCTCTCACATGTGTGTGGGGTCCACCCTCTCACATGTGTGTGGGTCCCACAATGTGGACCCCACACACAAGTGTGTAAAGATAACATTTTTGTTTTAAAAAATATTAGTGGGCTGGTGGGCCCTTCCATCTGGTGTATTGATGGGCTAGGTCCTACTTGACTTTGGGCCCTACACAGGTAGATCTGGGGCTCCCAGCCCATTGCCAACCTTATTGTTTGAAAAAATTGCATTATAGGTCTCTAACTTATAATTTAAATTAGTAGTCTCTAAGTTGAAAAAACAAAATCAACCGTTGTTTGGGCTCCATTTTAATGAGGTTTTGGAGAAAATATATCTTGGGATAGTAATTTTTTGAAAATTGTATGATTAAAAAGTAGGAAAAATTTTAAATTTACATTTAATATTATTTCTTTGAAGAATTTGTGATTGAAAATCAAGAAAGAAAAATGCATTAAATTATAATGGAGCCCAAACAGGGACTCAACCTTTCGTCGTATCAATCCTATGTCCCAACTATACAAACTTGCTCTTTTTCAAAGTTAAATACTAATTTTTTAATCGAATAATAGATAAACGACTGTTAGTGAAATTTTTATCAAAGTCGCTACAGGTACATTGTGAGTTAAATCGTGGGTTACATTCTTTCATATGGTATGATTTGTGCCATTAATTTTTTCACCACTTTTCCTATCAATGCACGGATTCCCCTCACACAAGGGGGAATGCCGTGCTAAATGTACACTTTGATCAACTTATCTAGAAAGCAAGAAGCCAACGGGCCCTGACCAAGCCCGGCCCTTAAAAAATATCATTTTCCCTATAAATTTCACTTCAGTAAAAAAAAGGGAAAAAAGATAAGTACGCTACTCTACTAAAATAATTGGTTCCTGCTGCTCACGCCTCTCGGTCGTAACAACATTTAATACGTTCTCTCTCTCTAGATTCCGATCTGTTCCAAAAAAAATCATTCACAATTCCACCAATGACCATGGATCACTCCGACCTCACAACCGAGCAGGTACATACTCACACAACATATATAACTGATTCTGGATTCATTTTTTACAGGAATTTTTCCTGAATCAATTGCAGTGATATTTGCAAAATTATCGAAAACCTATTCGTATTTTGCCTTCATTGATTAAGTAATCAGAAATGACTCTGTATTTACTGTAGTGGTTACTCATTCGGTTTGTTCTGTTCTGAAATATGATTGATTTTTTGGTGATTTGAAGGTTTTGAGGAGGGATATTCCGTGGGAGACTTACATGAGTACTAAGCTGATAACGGGAACAGGGCTTCAGCTGTTGAGGCGTTATGATAAGAAACCCGAGAATTACAAGGCTCAGTTGCTGGATGATGTAAAAAAAATTCGTCTGTTATTTTCTTCCTTGTTTGTTGGAATATAATTAATGATTTATCACTTCCGTGGAATATTAACTTGATGCATGTTCCTCGATGATTTTAAATGCTGTGGTGATTTTCTTTACATTGTCATTGCAATATTTGTAGAAAGGAAATTACAAAGGTGTGAAAATTGTTATTTGTCTTCTTTTTATTGGGGCACTGGGGACATAAAAAGAGTAACGTGGAATATCAGCAAGGATAAAATAAGTTGTCAAGGTCTCAAAGGTACTTCCACCCATACGAGTTCCCACCCTGAAGGTGCAAAGTCAATGGAAGCTTATTCTACTACAATCGGTTTAGCCTCTTTTGCCTCTTCTAATAGCTGTGGAATGCGACATTTCTTTTCACTTTGCAAAAATTTGAATTACGTTTATCTGGGGAAGTTTGAACTTAGTGTTTATTTTAATCACGAGGAAAATTGTGGAAATCCAGTTTTCCTCATTTTCTTTTCTTCTTCATACCCTTTGTTAAATCGAAGATTCAAATTAAGGTTTTCACATTTCAGGATGGATTGAATTCATAAAAATGCAATTCAAATCTTATAGAATTATTTTTCTAATTTTATGGTCCTTACTTTTACAACAAACATTACATTAATCTTATTACCAGTTATAAATCCTTTCTCGATAGTATTTACCTCTTCAAAATCAAGCTACTTCCAATATTTCCTTCTATCAGTGCATTTGCTAGCAATGCATCAATAGATTAATTTCTGAGTAATTGGAGCTATTTGATTATTTTCACATTACTTTGAGCCAGTTGCACACATCCCGCCACTCCCCAGCCAATGTACATGTGTATATTAGTTATCTTCAGTTGTCTGCTGCACTATTAATGTTGTACAGTAGATGAATGCATTCTCAATGGTGCTAAAGATGATGGCTTTTTTATTCTCATCAGATGTATTGAGATGGCATTGATAGATAATTTAAGCTAAATGACTAGTAGGAAAAAATTGTTACAGGATGGTCCATCCTACATTCGGGTACTTATTAGCATTTTGCGCGACATATTCAAGGAAGAAACTGTAGAATATGTTCTGGCCTTGATCGATGAAATGCTAACTGGTAAGTGATGAAGGTACTAGCTTTTTAATTGTATGTAACTGGTTTACAGAACTGACATATTTTTCATCCCTGTGGCAGCAAACCCAAAAAGAGCAAGGTTGTTTCATGATACGTCTCTTGCAAACGAAGATACATACGAGCCTTTCCTGAGGCAAGCAATCCTTATTGTTTTGTAAATTTTAGCTTTTTATGTTTATCTGGTTGTAACAATATCTGTTGCTATTCACTTGAAGTATTTTATCTAGAGCTCTAGCTTTGTCCTCATCTCTATCTACAGCCTCTGACACCCTCAGTCCCAAATAAACGATAAACAACAGAAAAACTAAGTTGAATTCTCAATTTTTTTTTTTTTTTTTGTGGTCTACTCAAATAATTTTTAGTACTTGATCTGGCACTACATCTACCAAAAGGTCTAATTGAACAATATTATGAGACCATGTTAAACAAGGTCAATTTCATTCTATCACTCACACTTCTGTCTTGTACAACTTTATCACATAACGTGAATCTTTCAATACCCTCCCCGATCAAAGTAAAAAAAAAAAAAAGGAGAAAAGAAAAGAAAGAAAGAAAGGTAAAGAATTATATACTTTTGAATAGTTATTGAATTCTTTTGTTGTAAGCAGATTGAACCGTTCTTCTTGACACGTATCTAGTACTTTTACTCCATCAAAGCTAGTACTTCTCCTAACTTGATTGTGAATCAAACAAGTTGATTCCTTCCTTGTTCTCAAATCCCATGATGATAAACATGCACCCTCTTCTCTTTTCCAGATTGCTTTGGAAAGGTAACTGGTTTATTCAAGAGAAGAGCTGTAAGATACTTTCTCTGATAGTAAGGTACAAAAAATACCCTCCCCTTGCTAATGGTTTTAAATGCTAACTAGGTTAGTTGTCCCACTTCTGTGTAACAATCCTGTTTTGGCAATTACAGTGCAAGGCCGAAGCCTCAGGATGCAGCCACTGCAAATGGGGCCTCAAAATCGAAGGAACTCACTACTATTGATGATGTTCTAAAAGGACTTGTGGAGTGGCTTTGCACACAGGTCTGTACTAAGATTCTCATTATGATTTCGGATTTGTCCTATAAATGTTTGAAGGGATTTATCAGGTCTTGTTGCCATAACCAAAGGAGTCTTAAAAGCCTCTTTAACATGGGAAAGCTAAATTTGTGTGGCAGTTTTAGGGAACTGTATTACGAATGTCAAATGCCTGAACTTTATAGGATAGATAAAAAATTAACTAAAGAACCAAAAACAGAAAAGTGTAGAAATACCTTTTGAGGGGAAAAATGTTCAAATTATTACCAAAAGATTTTAGGTTGTAGCAAGTGGAAAAATGACAGGGCTGAGGTGAGAAGAAAGACACTCTTGATCTAAATACAGACCAAGAGTATATGTGCAGCATTTAAACTACAAGTTGTAAGTCCATTGCTTTTCCTCCAAACAAAGTCCCAAATCTATTAGTCTAATTCACTGCCTCTTATGGGCGACAAAATTTAATAAAACAACTAAGAATGTACATGGAATATACATTATCTACTTTTGCGCTCGTGGTGCATGGATGCAGTGATATAGTAAAGATGCAACTGACTGTAACAAGCAAACTAAAGTTCTAGTTGGTCCTTTGGACCTTCAATGTTTTAGGCTTAATCTAGTTTCTTTCAACATGTCATTTCTTGGAAAATTAGTCACTGGCAAAAGTTTAAGAATTTGAACTCAAATAGCTTTGACACAAGAACATCTGGTGTCTAATCTAAAAATGCACAAGGTGTAGAGTATGCTCAAAGCTTTTTAGACAATATCTTTGACAATTTTTTATCATCAAGCTCTATGCTCCATTGTCAAATTGTTTTTATGATTAAATTTTTGGTGGTTACTGACACTTCATTCTGTTTATAAATTGGATACACAAATAGAAGTTATGGTAAATCAGAATCCTCTGGAAATATAATTATCTGTGAGAATAATGGTCATACCAAACCTCAGTCTGTAATAAGTTTGGTGAAATATGCATCAAGTTTTTCTTTCACTGGCTTAAGCAGGGAAATATTGTTAGATCTACTTTCACATGAAACATCCTTGTCCTTTATACTTGTGTATGTATGCAGCTGAAGAAGCCTTCTCATCCTAGCCGTGGCATTCCAACAGCAATCAGTTGTCTTTCAACTCTACTTAAAGAGCCTGTTGTGCGATCTTCGTTTGTTCAAGCAGATGGAGTGAAGCTGCTCGTTCCTCTAATTTCTCCAGCATCCAGTCAACAATCCATTCAGGTAACATCATGGTTGAGTACAAGCTAAAGTACCTAACCTCTATACCTAAATTACCCTAGTCCTAGATATTGGTTTGTGGAAGGGTTCTCAATATCATCTGGAGTCATGTAAAGTTGGAATTCTTAAAACTAATATAACAACTTATTTCTGTTTCAGTACTTTAAATTTTATCATTTCTGAATCTTGATTTATTCTTGAAACAGCTCCTCTACGAAACATGTCTATGTGTATGGCTTTTGTCTTACTATGAACCTGCAATTGAGCAGTTGGGTGCTTCTAGAGCTCTTCCACATTTGATTGAAGTTGTTAAGGGTTCCACAAAAGAAAAGGTGAGTTCCTGGCTGTGGGTAATATATGCTGAGATCTATTTGTTTAAAATGACAGCTTGTTTTTGATCTGTAACATCTTGTGTGGTCCATTAGTTTTTCAGAATTTATTTGATATGCTCAATCTGAGCTTATTAATCTTAAAACTTCCTTTACAGGCAGATTTTTTCTATTTAACAGCTGTCTGAGAACTTCTCGCTCCACTTCAGTATGTAACATGTATCCCATCTTTGCTATTAGGTTGTCAGGGTAATTGTGTTGACTCTTAGGAACTTGCTTCAAAAGGGGACATTTGGCGCTCTGATGATAGATCTGGGACTGCCTCAGCTTGTTCAGAGTTTGAAAGCACAGGCATGGAGTGATGAGGTGAGATATATTTTTCAATGGCTTATAAGTTCTAACTATGTAATTGCTTGCCTATATATTTCTGAAGTCAAAATTAAGGCAAACAGAAAAGCTGTTTTCAAAAGGATGGGTTTTTCCCACACAAATTACACGAGGAAGCGGTATCAAAGTTTTATTCCCTTTACATTTAGATAAGGCAAACTAGCTAAGAGTGTCTACAAATGTTTTCTTCTTTAACATGGAGAATTCACATGCCTATTATGTGGGAAAAGGTCTACCTATTGTTTGCTTATGATTTGTCAAGGACGTTTTAACAGCTGAGATGCCAATGTGAGGCAATGCTCTTGTTCTTTTTATGGGTTTGTAGGGAGAAGAAGGGCGGATCAGGTTATCGTGTTTGTATGACATGTATTTATCAAAAAATAGATGGCTATCATTAATTGTTCAGAAAAAACTTTAAAACGTATGGTACAACAAATTCACCCATTCATAGAAGCTGTATTTGAAATTAAGTACTGCTGTAGTATTATGACACTCATTTGGTTTCAGTGTCTGCTTTATACAAGCCACTATAGAAAGCGATCCTGCTTTCATGCGTAGATGATCTTCCTCACCCCCTCCTTACCCTTGATATTTCAAGTGCTAAAGTGAGATGTTTTTCTGTAGGATCTGCTAGAAGCTCTGAATCAACTGGAAGAAGGACTGAAAGATAACATTAAGAAGCTAAGTTCTTTCGATAAGTACAAGCAGGAAGTCCTCCTTGGACATCTGGATTGGTCCCCTATGCACAAAGATCCAATGTTTTGGCGGGAAAATATTACGAAGTTCGAAGAAAATGATTTCCAGGTGTTGCTCGTCTCCCTGGACTATTGTCGTACCATTTAACTATTCTTGTTTCATTAATTAATCCTAGAAGTTCTCTCTTGTTTTCTTTGTTGTTCCCACCTCCAAAATAAATCATAGGAAAAACTTATTTTATAAGCTGCCCCAAACGCGATTGTTTTAGGTATTTAGGTTTGATTATTAACAATGGAGAAGGAATTGAAGAGGATGTAATGCATAGAGTTAGAGGGGGTTGGATAAAGTGGAGAGGTGCTACACTAATCCTGCATGATAAGAAAATCCTATAATGTTAAGGACCAGTTTCATAAAATAGTCATTAGACGTGTTATTCTTTATGCTACTGCGTTTTCTTTAAAAGACAAAATATCTCTAAGGTAAATGTAGAGGAAATGAGGTTACTTAGATAAGATATGAGAATGTACGACAACTGGAAGTGGCATCCATCGAGGATGATTTAATGGAATGATGATATAGGTAATTGGGACATGATTCCCATAGAATTAAAAACCTAATATTCATAAGAATGATGCCATCTCAGTAAAATATACTAGTGGAGAAAGGGATAGACCAAAACTAAAACGACTTCTTGCTGTCGCTTAAGATCTAGTTACTTTGGATCTATCGATAGATCTAACAATGATCCATATAGAACGATGAAAAGGAATTCATGGGAACCAGCCTCAAATTTATTAAGATCAAGGTTTATCATTTTCATAATTTTAAGAGTCTATAAATTTGTTGCATTTTTGTTCCTAATATAGTCTTCTTTCTCTTCCACCGTTGGGTGAGCACTGTTTCATGAATTGTTTTCTTTTTATCATTTCAATACAAAAGTAATATTTAATATCTTGCTACAGATTTTAAGGGTCTTGATCACAATCTTGGACACGTCTACTGATCCTCGAACACTAGCCGTTGCTTGCTTTGATCTCTCACAGTTCATTCAGTACCATCCTGCTGGGCGTATCATAGTGACTAACCTCAAAGCAAAGGAGCGGGTGATGAAATTGATGAACCATGAAAACCCGGAGGTCACCAAGAATGCCTTGCTTTGCATCCAAAGGCTTTTGCTAGGTGCCAAATATGCAAGCTTCTTACAAGCCTAAGGTTCGACCAGGTTCAAAATTTATAATAATATTAGGATGAAGGTTGAAGAATTTGTATGCGGGAGTCGTGTACTTCTGTTTGTCCGAGTATTTCACGCACGGTATTTTTTTTTGCTATCAGATGTTTGCTATGAGCGACTTGTGGAGGGTTATTTATTCTGTTATATGCAGTCAAATAAAATTATATATGTATTTTTGCTTTTCAAATGCTGTTGAAAAATAACAAAAGAGAATACAGTTTGGTTACTTTTACTGCGTTATGTTTTTTGTTTGTATTTAAAGAATGTTCGTTTCGTTTTCCTCTTCTGGGGTGAGTTTTTTTTTTTAATTAAAATGGTTTCCCAGCATTGTTCTCTTATGGTAAATTAACATTATTGGAGAAAAAATTATTCATGTAGTTAATTTTTTATTTTTAAAAGAATAATGATATTCATAATGAAAATTATCGGTAGCCGCCCTATGTGACATATATATGACAGTTTGTTGTTTGATGCACGAGATAATAAAAATTGTCACATTAATGCATCAAATAACAAGTTACTAGGTATATGTTACATAGAGCGACTATCAACAATTTTCATTATGAATAGCGTTACTCCTTTTGAAAACACGGTCAGTCTAGTCCAACCTATCGAATATGACACGCCAGCTTTAAGATATCCTAAATGTAAAAATTATTTTCTTGTCAAGAAAATTTATGCATTCCCCCCTTCAAAATGTAAAACAAGCTCAAATAATGCAGGTGGTAATGATAATTTGAAGGTTTCATGTTACCAAGTAGCCGTTACAACCCAATTTTATTATCTGTTTGGTTCAACGGTCATATTTTCAGTTTCAAATATGACCGTTGCTCCCCATATCCTTCATATTTATGCCCGTCATCGTCACCTCATTCCATAAAACAAATTAGCCTTCTAATTCTGCATTTTTTCACCCAATTTCCAATTCCCAGATTTTCTTATAAAAATTAGCAAGATATGGGAGGATTATACATAGAAAATCCTTCCAATGAATCTCATCCTCACACTCACAAAGTGTTCCTCTTGTGCAATTACATTCTCTTAGGTGCAGCCTCAAGTTGCATTTTCTTGACCCTTTCCCTTCGACTAATCCCTTCGCTCTGCGGCTTCTTCTTGATCCTCCTCCACGTCACCACCATCATCGGTGCCATTGCCGGCTGCGCTGCTGCCTCGGCTGCCCGAGGTGCCGGGAAGTGGTATGGGGCCCACATGGTGGCCACAGTGCTGACAGCAATATTTCAAGGGTCTGTTTCTGTGCTTATTTACACGAGGCCTGAAGATTTTCTTGGAAATCTGAAATCCTATGTAAGGGAAGAAGATGGTGTGACGATATTGAAATTGGCTGGTGGGCTGTGTATACTGATTTTCTGCCTAGAATGGGTTGTTCTTACACTTGCATTCTTCTTGAATTACTATGCTTATGTGCAAAAAGATGGGGTAAACTCTCATGCAATGAAGAATTCTAAGGTTCAAGATGAGGATGACTTGAAGAATTGGCCATGGCCTTTCCAAGTTTGATATTGTATAGATAATGGGGGATTGTCGCTTGAAACATAATTGTTTGATTCGTTCATTTGTTGGTGGTTATGGATTCTCCAATTTGGATGGGGATTTTGTATTTGTTTTACTATTGAGTGAAAAAGGTGTTGATTAACTATTCCAATGATCTCAATTTAATCATATTTATTATCTTTTTATTGGGGTGGGATGTGGGTGTGCGGTTCGAATGCCTCTAAATGGATATGAGACCCAATTTATCCTCCTTAAAAATTCAAACTCGTTGAATTTATATTGTTGAAATCGCAAAAATCCAACCTCACAAGGTGCAAACAAAATACATGAATTTTTTAATTCACGCACCGGTTGACCTTCTTGCTAGTAGATTTCTTTCTTCTACGTGATTTTTTACTAAGGATCACAGCATTTGCTCCTCAATATTCATGCGGTTTATAAAATGGTGACTATATTTGTGATCTAAAGTCGTGCAACATTTGTGTTTATAAATTTCCTTTCTCAAATAGACTTGCCAATTTTTGATCAACTTCTATAAAAATCCTAGAGTTTTTATAATTGTACAAAATTAAAAAAACCCCCTTTTATACAATTTGATAGGCTCAAGCTTGTCGGGCTAGGATTGAGTGTCACCGACCGCTTGAGGATGGGTCTTTGAGTTCCGGGTCATGATGGAACCTATGCCTTAAACATGAGTCTTAAGCCATCGTATCATCTTACTAATTGGTTGGTGTACGTGGAAGGTGTTGCCGTTAAGAGAAAATACTTCCTCTATTATGTCACAATGATATTTCTTTATGACGTCTTTCATAGTCTGACTTTGAATTTCATCGATGGGGTATTGGACCAAGGTGCCGAGTTGAACTATCTGGACCCTTTGGCAACAAGCTCTTTTAACAAGTCGATGGGATTTCCTCACTTATCCAACATGGATTTCATGTCAACAACTAAATACATAGTTTCAGCACCATCACTATATTTATCTCTAAAACTAGCTAAAAAATTCTTGAATATTATAATCACATTGTAAAGATCGGCTGGTGTTAGAAGAAGAGAAGATATATAGAAAAATAAAAATATAAAAACAAATGAAGGCACTAAAAACTAGTCCATAATTTGTGTATATTTTATTCATGTTATATATTTGTCTATGAATTAAGCTTGCAGGATCTTTTACAAGAACCCCAGACCCCTATCAGTATGCAATCTGTATGAAGCAAAAGAGTTATTAAAGCTTAATTTTACATGCATTGTGGATGGAGCTATATTAATTTTTTTATTTTTTTTGCCACCAATTCTATCTATACATATATTCTCCACTTTACAGTCTTCGTCCACCAGTGCCACTCTCCCTTTGACAGTTGAAATATACGGCAGCTACGGGCGAACCAAGATTGTAGAGCTCGGCGAAGTCCCTGGTGATGAAATTCTGGCGCCACCCCGGAGGGTACACCGTCTGGCGGCCCAACTGCCGGAATAACACGAAAACCAAACGGTGGATACCCATTGATGGCCGTGGACTCTCATAACAAACAATCTCTCGTCCTGCGCCGCCACATATATATGCATTGTGTTATGTTATGAATGCATCAGTATATGACAAATGGTGATTAAAAAGCGACTTTTAAAACTCGAGCAGTGTTCTAAGTATTATCTTAAAGCGGGGTTTTTTCATGCCATATATAACTTTCAGTTCATGAAGTCAGGAAGTGAACACAAGAACTTTGAGGATCGACACGTTATTTAGCCCCCTGTTTGGTAACTATCTTTCAAAACTTTTTTTCTCATACTCATTTTCAATCACACATTTTCACAATAAAATATTTTTCAGGTAAACCCAAAATTTTTTCCAAAAAATTACTATTCAAAAAAACTCCCTTCTTTTCAAAAAAAATTCTGTCAGACAGGGGCTTGATGTAAAGAAGCTGAGATGGTTAGCACTTAACGTGGAAAAAGAAAGAACATTAGCTCTCCACCAAGGACTAAACTTACGATGTGAAAATTGAGACATGATGACAAGGACATCATGGACCATGTTTGGGTTTGTTACGAATTTCCAAAGAAAAAAGCAGAGACGTCTAATAGCAGCATGTTTGGCTAAGTTTTTACATGAGGATCATTAAAAATCTAACAAATGAATGAATAATGACATAGTATTCCTATGCTTTGGAATCAACTTGTCTAAAAATTTAAGCGACATCTAATATTTAGTAAGAGGGGACAAACTAATTTGTTTATATTATATCTTCAACGAGTATGATGACTACTCACCGAAGCTAGCTCCAGTGGTTGCAGGAATATCAGTCACCAACCTACAAATAAAGGAATTCACAAAAATGGGACAGGAATTGAGTTAGGAAATATTAAGGAAAATTGTAACACAAAATGAAAAATATTTCTCCCTCTAAAATTATTATTCATAAAATTGTACTTTACTTAAACAGGCAAACAATATACAGAAATAATAGTTTAACTCCTTTTAATACGATTAATTCTCAAACTAACAATTTACATTTTAAAGTTCGAAGGAGTAATCAGATTTCAAGCACAAACGAAGCCATACGTCTACGAAAACAACAACGAACATTTTAGGATTTGTATTATTACTTTCTAATAAGGTTGATTCTTTAAGATATAACTCTTAAGATACGTTTCTTTGTATTGCTACGTAATTTTGCATGTGACGTCAATCTGTCGAGGTACAAGCAAACCACATGAAATTATAATATTGTATTGTGTAACACTTTATTGGAACCACGTGCCATGCACCAACATTCATTCATAAAATTTATACAAGAGACATTTGAAAAAAAATGAATATGGCCCCCACGTGATGGACACGATGAAGACACAAAATTGCGTATAAACAAAATCACTTTGGCTCTATTGAGCCTCAATAAATAGATTTTATAGTAGTTTTTTTTATCGATAGACAAGTTCTATATTAGAAAGGATATTGAGCCTAACTCAACCTAACAAAATTGGCTTGTTAGGGGAGGATTGCTCTCACCTTATTAAGTGGATCGTGTAAATATCACCGGCCAATGTGAGACTCTAATACGCCCCTCACGCACAGTATGAACCATGTCAAACAACTGTGAACAAATCGATATTGGAGGCACCCAATATTGTAAAACTGAGTCAAACCATATTAGAAAAGATATTGGGTCTAACTCAACTTAACAAAATTGGCTTATTAGGGGAGGATTGCCCTCACCTTATTAAGTGGATCGCGTAAATATCATTGGCTAACGTGGGACTCTAATACTCTGCTCTCTCCATTTATCTGAAACCAATACTGAAGTGGAAGGGGGAGGGGCAGGCAGATTCTTACCAGTGCAAGTACTCTCTGAGGTTAGAATCACTTGGGCTTGGAGCATCGGGATCCACCATTATCTGCAGGAGATGAAGATTAATGTCATGACCAGCAAGAATCCATCGTGTCCACCATTTGGAGTAGTACCACAT